AATGCACGAAACCCGGTATAGTGTGAGTCAAGCTGTACCTGCCTGTTTATATTAGCCGGACTCGAGTGCCAAGCTTCGAGGAATTCTCTCGCTTGTCGCGTATTATGCCATTGCGATCATGTCGGTACCATCCCAATTGCACAAAAGAGTATATCAGTGGGGTTTTCAGCCTCATTAAATGGCGCGTGATACTTGTCTGTAGTCTGTGTTAAACCCCAACTTAAAGTGGTGTGAGAAGATGGATGACGTCTTCCGTGAAATCCTTGAAGTACAGGAGCGTTCACCAAAATTCAAAGCCACTGCGGTTTTGATTCTCGTGTTGTTTGCATATACACCAATTGACGGACTTACACGGGAATCCATTTGTTCTGAGCACCTGATGAAGGCACTGTAATTGAGCAACGTTATCTTCTAGTTCACTTTAGTGCACTGCTATACTCGAGGATAGCGTCCTAATGGAGCCATGTTTTTGATGGCTTGGATGTTCATTGTTAAAACTCAGAACGTGCACCGTATTTATTGTTTTTTATCTTGATTTTATCTTTTTCGCCTACCACCATTTTGGCGGCAGTCTAGGAATGTTAGCTGCTCCTTTTTTCTTCCCTCGTCGATTGCGCGGTGAAGGGAGCATTGAGTGTTTTTATTTAAATTCCAACATTTCACCCCTTCTAATTAAGACGAAAGTATGCTTCACATACTGAGCCGACAATATCGATTTGCGGTGCTAGAAGGCAGCTATCCCAGCCGCTCATAGACTACCCGAACTATTAAGTATTGAATTCAGTCAGTCAATTTGTGTGAGTTTAACCTGTTCTTAAAGTGTTCTGCGTAGTGAGATATAACTTCAGGAGATTAGGAAGCTCAGCTTGCTTCAGGCGTCTCTTCGTTGCATCGCATTTAATTTGCGGGAATGGGTCGATGGTCTGGCCTGCCAGATCCTGGTACATAGTCGTAAAGAGGACGTAACAGCATCAAAAGGTACTATGACCCCTTTTGACAGGAATCTTATCCGTTTAAGTATCTTCAAGTATTACGTTGACGTACTGGCCATGGTGTTTGAATCTGCGGTCCGAATTTTAAAAAAAAACAGCTAAACAACCACTTTTCCTGACCTTAGTTTGCTTGCATTTTATTAATAGGACTAGCGCGGAAGCCCGGCTTCGCCTTGGGCTTCCTTACATGTTGTTGTCCCTTATGTAGGTAAACCGTATTTGAGAACCTCTTAAAATAATCATGTTCAGTTCAGTTTTATTAGGGAAATATAGGTAAATACCTCTGAACTCCCTCTTTTACAGGCTGTGATGCAGAACATGTGGCGTTGCGAGTAATGAAGCTATGTTAAGGGGGGCAGAACCTTTGTTGATATACTTGCAGACGTACTTGATGGAC